TCCCAAGGGCCCCCGACTGTGAGTCGTTCTGTTCTGTATTACTTAACAGAATTCTAAACTACTGGGCTTGTTTCTTTCTTTTAAGTTTTTATTTAAGTTAATTTTTTCATGTATTTTTTTAAATTCGTTTTTACGTAGTCGGGTTTTTTGTTTTTCTTTAAATTATTTTACTATCTAAGCCTGTACGTTAAAAAAAAGCGCGTTGGTGTCTTATTATTTGTAGTACCTAGGTCAAAATCATTAACCTTTTCTTACAATAATCTTTAAATCCATCTCTCGATGATATTTGTAATTACTGTCTATAATTTGTCTATAAAAACTTCGCGCTATAGATAAAGTAAAACGATAAAATAATTCATACAGTAGTTTTTCAACGCATTTTTGAGGTATGGAAATTTTAAATTCTCCATAAAACTTACTTATGTGTATCCATAAATATTGATATAAATATATTATGTTATATTTTATGTTGACGACCTCCGTAGCCGAGTGGTTCGCACGCCGGTTTCAAGGTGTCGCCATCTCTGAGGTCCCGGGTTCGATTTCCGGTCGGGTCAATGTATAAAATGAACTTTTCTATATTGACTCGGGTCTGGGTGTTGTGGCACCTTCGTTGTCTCAGATACTCCATAATACGGGGGCTTTAGCTACTCATCTTGGAATCTGAGCAATGTATGTGATGTTGTTAAATATATTTATTTATTTATTTATATATAAAAGTTTGCATTTACAATGCTATGCTATAAAATATTCTTAATGAAAATGCTTAAAAAAATCACATTATTCATTGAAGTGGTGGTTTCATATCTCATTAGAGCATCAGCTTTAATTAGGACCTTTTTGTACCATATTTTGTACAAAATACGCAACGAGAGTAAAGACACACTCGTTAGATTTTATAAATTTTTAATCAGAAAAAAAAAATGCAGTTATATATATATTTAACATACTTTAGATTATATGAAAACTAATTATTATATACCTCTATATTTTTATACAGTTAAGATGAAATATGTTTGTCGTTAAATCGATCCCCAAAAAAACCTACTTAAAATCATATTGCAATTTTTTTTTTCTATCGAAACCATTATTGAAATTCATGTTTCTGCTTATAACGAGCATTTGACCTTATGTTTAATTTTCATAAAACTATTTTTACTTTCTAAATATTGGCAAAGCCCTAGAATAAAATTGGTTTAAAAGAGGTCATTTCGAACAACATTGCCTTAAGAGCTTTAATGTATTTCTGCAACTGGTTGAATACCGAAGGATCACTCAGTTAAATAAATATTGGAAAATATCACACACATTTCTCAGATCCCAGATAACAATATAAGTATGAAACAACGAAGGTAACACAACACCCAAACTCGAAACAATGTAGAAAAGATCTTTTTCCGCCTTGACCATACCGGGAACCAAACTTGGGACCTGAAAGATGGCGATACCATGTAACCCGCGTGTGAGCATCTCTCCCAGAGACAGAGGTCCTTATGACGTAATGATTTGATTCGTAGTTAGTTTTTTTTAAGTTAGTGAGTTGCACCATAACGCGGGCGGAATAATAGTTCTATTGATCTCACGTTTTTAGTTATTAGTAATAACCTATTAATTATCATCATTATCACCAGCCAACTGCTGACGATCAGACGTTCCCTATGGATGAAATCGAATCGTATAGGGACGATGGCCCACTACGCAGGCCCAGTGCACATTGGTGGGTAATAACGACTGCATATGCAGCCAGGACCAATGGCTTAACGTACATACCGCATCACGGAAGAGTTCGAGGAAATAAATTTTTGGTCACCCATCATGTGACCGACCATTGCAAAATTTGCTTTAAAACCGTATCGCAGACAGATCCCGCTAGCCACTGCGCCATCGAGTTATTACGTACTAGTTCTTGTTGATGACATAATCTCTCCATCATATCTGGTATATTATTATCATCACTTTCATTATCATAGTGTGCTGCTCAACTGCTCTGTCGGAGTCCATCTTCATTCAGTGAAACACGAAAATACTACTATGACTCTCTGCACGGCTTTAAAAATGCAAACCGCTACAGATGCCATCTGAATTAATAGTTAATCAACCTTCTGATGTAAAAAATCTCTTAACTTATTAATTAGGACACCCATTTGAAGACTACCTATTTGAAACCTCCATAACCAAAATCACATGCACCAGTACCGCGCCGATCAAAAGATGCTTTGTGTAATTCACTTGAAAGATTTTTACCTAAACGTGTTTTATAGATTTGCTGAATCTTTCAAATATTTCAGTTATCTATCACTTTTTTCTATACTGATTGTATAAAGGGAAAAGATAAAAAACTCAACTTCAACAATTTATCATTCATTACACGACAGTGACATTCGCCTTGTCGTTAGATCTTCAATTTTTCCGATAAATGAGGCATACGAATAAACTTACCTAGTGTATATAACGTCGCTTAGGCGTTGTCTCACATACATTTCGGTATTCCTATGTGTCATTTTATTTATGCAGTTTTCTAACGCGGCATTGTGTGTTGCTAATACTATTGTTATCTCGGTCTGCACCGGTATGTGTGAGGTAGACAGTGGCCTTGCTAGCCTGGCCTTATAACCTTTGCTCAAGTATCTCTTCAGGACTTTTCCGCAATGACATTTCCGTTTTTATTTTTAGCCGAAGGTTTAGAGATAAGTACCACCATTTTGGGTTCGGGGATAGTTATCTTCGATAAATTATGAATCATAAAGTATATTTAAGTATTTATTTTTCTCTTTGAAATTACAGTTTCTGTTATTATTTTTGTAATTTGTAACTATTGAAAAGAGATACTGAGATTAAATCTAGAAATTATATCATATTCCAAGGTTATTGTACCAATAAATTTATGAACAATGATTAAACAATAAATAATATCTATAAGTCCACTTAGCTTTGTTCTAGTTCAAATCCTACAAACGGGTGTTATCAATTTTGTATTAGATTTTGTATTATCTTTAAATTGATTTTATGTAGGACAAGATGCATGCGCCCTACTTAGCACTGCACTTGACCAAGTAAAGTGCATAGTATAGTTTAGTCATTACTATAATATGACCATCATTACGATGAAGAACAAAACAAATAAATAATTTATTAAAAATATTATGAGGGAAGTCTTGTTGCTCATTCAAAGGCACTATAAATAACAATACCTAACATATTAACATAAGTTATAACGTTTTCAATGATTTTACCATTGTTAACTTAAGGAACACATTTTTATGTATCTTTTATTTTATTTTATTAATTATAATTACATATATACTTTTTAATATTAATTGCTACAAAGAATTTTTGCGAATTTTAGCTGTTCATTGTTATTAATTTTAAGCTAAATAAAAGTGTGTTCTAAATAATAAAATATAAAACTCTACAAAACTTTGTATGTATTTTTTTTTGTTCGTTAATTTTATAAGAATTACCAATTCATAATAAAAAATATTTTATTACATTAATGTTAATATTATTATTTATTTAATATTCATCTGCTTACAAGTTTGTTGGAAAGTATTTTATATGCATATTAGTCTTCAAGAGAAGGTTTCCGGGAATATCAAATAATCTAACTACTTTGAGTGAGCTTTGAGCTTCTGATATTTATAAAGTGGTGTCACAAATCCTTAAATTTGTAAAATGATGGCTACCATTGTTTACTCACATTTGACATTGCATGGGAATATTTCGATAACACCTATGTATAGGCATTTATGGTTAATTGTAGTTCCGCGACTCTTATCACAATATCGACCGAGGTAACGAACCTGACAATGAATTGTGAATAGTGATGTTCCGATGTCGATATTGCATCGAATGCCTAGTATCATGTAAGTTTTATGTAGCGTCTAATTTAGTGATCATTTATATGTTATGCTTTGAAGATATAAAAAAATAAAGGATATTAGGATATTGAAGCGTTTGCTAACAAAAAAAATGTTTGTATTTCTAAATCTTGTTACATTACACAATGTTCAAAAATACTCAAGCCCGACGAATTAGAAATGTATTTCAATATAGGTAAATTTTAGTATTTATATACTTGTATTTATATACTTAGCGGTATCATGAAAATTCATGACTATAGTATAAAAGGTATATGTGTGAATTTGTTATTCGAATTTTAAACATACCTATGTAAACATTATATATATAGGTTATTAAATTTATGCTAATTTGGTAATGAAATATTTTCCGTAGTCCAGGTTGAAACGGTGAGAGATAATACGAAGTACGAAGAACATTCTTCGCCCTATACGATTTGATTTAATACCATCTATAGGAAAGGCCTGTAACCTAGTAAACTGTCAATAAGACATTAATAAGATAGATAGATAAACACTTTATTATAAACATCATAATAACAGTTTACAGATAATTTTATGGTTTTAAGTGGGCAAAGGCCGTCTTGTCACTAAAAGCGATCTGTTCCAGACAACCTCAATTATCGGAATATGTGAAGAGAGTGGAGGTAGTGTGCCGAGGATAACAATGTATATATACATATTCATAACGTAAGTAAAATGTATATATACACACATCACATACAAAAAAAGGAAACACTTAAGTATTAAGATTTTGATATGGCCACAGACTCCGCCTTATGGATTTCAGACGGCAGTGAATTTCATAGCCTAACAGTAAAAAAGCAGTTGATGATGATAGTTTTTACAGATTTATCGATATCGATAAAATTACCAATGAGCGTGCAACTTTGACAAAAGATATAGGGGTCAGGCCTTCAAACATACGAAGCAGAACCATTTCTGTTCAAATCATATAACTTTAAATATCCTTATGAAATCAATCACTTCGTAGTTGATGCACGCTTGTCGCGTGCACTACACCTTTATTTATATATAGTTATTTATATACATTTTTTATTTATTTAATTTATATTCAAAAAAGTATAAAAGTTTTCACTATTGTGTCTGTTCAATCATTAAAGCTGTATCGAATACTCAATCATGTTTCAATTCAAAGTGTTCGTAATTTTATTGTCATTGGATTATGGACTTTGTTTCATCAACCGTAAGTAGTTATTTTTATGTTATACAGGGTGGTGTTAGAAGTGTCTCCGACAGAATCTTGTAAATATAAATCCAAATAAATGTAATTAACAGCTTTCACACCATAATTATCAACTAGACGGAAAAAATATCTTGTGATCCGAAAATGAGATGTTTATCCCCTTTATAGTTACGGCAAAATTTAGGGGATAAATCACTTTCTTCTTATTTATTTTAACACGATAATGTCAGAGAACTTTTTTAAAAGAAAATATTTTACATAAAACAAAAAGACCCTAATGAATATTTAACAAGATTTGACAAAGTTTTAAAGGAAGAGGCTAGGCTGTAATTAAACTTTTAAATATAATTCAACTATATTGAATTACATGAATGTTCAAAAACTTAAAGTTAATATCGATTCTTTAAAGAATAAATAAAAAATTGACGTTATGTGAATCGAAAACAATGACCATATATGCACCAAATTAAAACTTGTAACTGATAGAACTAATTACGTAACTCCGTTTTAGTATATAGGCATAGTCGAGACGACAGAGATTGCGAATAAAACCAAATTCAGTAGCTTACTCTTAACGGTATTCGTATTGCCAGTCTCTAGTAGTAAATGTATGGTTTGACACACATCGAGATAAACCATCAAGTTTCCTATTAATCAAATTTAACAGCTCTCATTGTTGAGACTGTGTGTTCTGAACAAATCCATTAAAAACACTTGTCTACGAAGGTTTCAAATCTCACGTAATAATTACGAAGTAAGATTCGTATCTATTACAAATTCATTCGATTTAATTTTGTGCGCAACGGGTAAGTGTCCGCCTTAATTGACATTATAATCTAAGGTATCCGCATAGCTAGTAGCTTTAAAATACTATAAACACACTACAATACATTTTATCTCTATTAAATGTATTCATTAATGCAAAAAATCTCATCGTATCTAGTTAATTAATTGTTATCGTAACGTAGCCTTCATTAACAATGCATAAATAATAACTATTTGTCATTTAATTACTTCTCGAGTTATATGTTACTTCATTTATATTCGTAATTATATAAGCATGTATAAAATACTTTAAACTTTTAACAGCGAAATGACTTCCGATCTTTCCCAATAAATTTTCCAATTACCACAGCAAAAATCGAATTAAAAACATTGACTAAACTTAATCAATCGACTAAACTTATTCATGTTTAATATTCAAGTGATCAGATACCTCGCACAAAGTATCAGTGTTGCCGTTAAAAGAGAAAACGCCCTCAGCCCGTAGAGCACCTTTCCTATCAGTAGATAATGATTTGAGAATATATGTTGCAGGCTTAGAAAATAAAAATAATGATTTTAACTATAAACTTACATTGTTTACGAGTAATGACCAAGAATCTTAAAAAAATATTTCTTCAAAATTTGAAATTTTCAACTGTAGCGTAATTTAATTTTAATTTTTATAGAACGATACATTTTTTATAGAACAATCATTAAAATCCTTTATAGAAAAAAAAACATGATTAAAAATTATTAATTCTGCAATTCAGTACAAACATTTTCGATTTATATCCGAAAACACGACTCCCTTTTGGTTTGTTACAATTTCCATCTCATTAGCAGGACAGATAGATAAATCTATCTGAAAACGTTTCTCTTTTCAAAACACAGAGGGATTACAGAGATCATCCCTTCAAGCTTTCGTAGATAGGGAAAATTGGGAAATGGCTACAGAGAAAACTTTAGCATTTGTAGATAAAGATTATCAGTGTAATTCTTTATTTAATTAATTATTATTACTACAACATTTTCTAAGATAACTATTCAGAATTAAACAATTAATAAATATATTGCACTTATACTTGTTACTCGTAAATTAATTTACAATCAGCGAAGAGCACGTCGGATTCGGGTATAAAAAGGTTGAATACAAAGTATATGGAATCATAGATATCTAATTATTTTTATTGTTATCTATAGGCAGAGATTTTTCAAACTATCTCTGTAGTGTAATATCATACTATGGAATATGTTGTTTTCAGACATCCATTTTTTGAAAAATGTAGTATATAATATGTTAACGAAAATAACTCGAACTTTTATATTCTTTATGAAAAATGCTTAAAAATACACTTGGTCCCTGACACCGTGAAATAGGTGTAATAGATTTTAACTCCATGGAAGTAATTCGTATGAAATCTTAAACTGTGTGTCAGTGGCTCGGCCGGAGCGGATAATGGATAAAGTGCTATACAAATTCATATACAGATATGAAAAATCATGGAAATTCGTACAGATAATATTGTTTACCTTTAAGCATTTTACATAACAATTTAACATTAGTACAATAATAGCGAAAGTAACACATGTTTGAGATATTTTTCAGTCTTGCTAAGGATTTGGATAGCTTTATTAATTCGGGTGACTACTCTTACCATGGAGACAAAATAAAATATCTAAAATAATAAAATATAGTCTCAAAATAAAATATCGGTAAATTTACAATTAGTCACAGTAATACGAAGCATAGATTATACAAGATTTCTAATATGATAAGTATTTGATTTTGTTAAGTTGTTTTATCATTATCTTCTTTTTTCAGTGGCCGATGTAGAATGTGGCGTGTACCAAGCTCGACGTGCAAGAATAGTAGGAGGAGAAGATAGCTTACCTTCAGAATTCCCGTGGGCAGCCAGCATATGGAGACAGGGGGCTCATCAGTGTGGTGCTACTGTTCTCACTGACAGATGGCTATTGACAGCGGGTCACTGTATTTGTAGGTTCGTAAAGAGAAAAATTGACGAATTCACAAATGAATTGCTAATATCCTCCTTGTACTAGGGAACCGTATTATGTAATAGCGTATTTATACTTATCGGTGACATACGCGTGCGGCATGGGGATGAAATATATTCCTCGCTGTCATTGGCCGGTCATTGTTTTATTGATCAAAAGATCAACGCGCAGAGGTCACTCTTACTCCATTTTCTGACTCCACTGACCACTGTAAATACGCTTTATGCGATGAAAATATTCTTTATTCAGTATCGTTTATTAAAAGAACTTTGGAATTGTCCACCATTTATTGCTATGCCAGACATCTGTAGGTTGACAAGAAGAATGATCTTCACAACAATAATCTATGGAGTGCTATGACTTGTACATTTAAACTTATGGACTTATGTTTGCAGGATCACGTATAGATAAAGTTCAATGGTAATGGAGTGGAAAGAGGCCACATCAATTTAACCTTTTTGTGTTCAGCTGTCATTGCACAAGAAATATTGTTTCTCATTTTTTTTATATATAAAAACCTTATTCTTTTTCCTTTAATTGTAAATTTACCCGGAGCATACTAGATGTAGTATGTTTTGCCAAGAAAATAATGATGATGAGCAGCCAGCCATACCTGTCATTTTTCTAATCTATCTTTCAGCGCATTTGACGAATTCTACAAATCAAAACAGTTGACGGTAGTAGTTGGCAATATCGATATATCGTCAAGCAAGAACGGTGCTCAACAGCTTTCTAAAATTATACCTCATCCAGATTACAGGTAAGTATTGTACACAAAGTTGAATGATTTTATTACTTTTTTGCTAGACATACTTTTGAATAGGTCCCAATAATTTCCTCAAAATCGTTTTTAAATATAAATACGAGTACTGCTCTAATTGTCGTAATAGCATAGAATCCCATACTTTCTTGGTTTGTAATCATCAGTTCATTTTAGGTGTAACAAAAAAACCAATGATGTTGCTCTTCTAAAGACAATGAGGCAGTTGAAATGGAATGATGAGCTCCGACCGGCTTGTCTGCCTCAACCAACAGCAGAAGACTTTAGCGGAAATATGGCTACGGTTGCAGGCTGGGGATTCACGAGTGAAGACAGAGCTAAAGGTGCGGTGTGATTTCGAAAGCTTTTTTCACACACATATATTAATTTCTTTGGATTCCGCCTCTTTTGCCTGTTATTCCTTGCTGCATCAAAGTGTTGCATAGAAAATATTGATAGAAATTCACCTTTATTGGATATGGTACAATAGCAAAATACAAAGCACATAAGATGCCCAGGTGCAAGGCCCCCATCACAGGGAAAATGTTTTGAATTTTTTTTACACATATTTATATTTGAAAAAGAAAACATAAAAATTGGTTGTGCAAGGGCGGCGGCTGTTTCAAAAGAGTCGTTCAGCGTCAGCAATTGAAAAACATAAAAATTATTGAAATAAAATTTCAACTTAGGGCGTATTACCGAAGTCATCTATGAGTAGGTACAATACTACGAGATCAGACCATTATCGGCGCGGCGCCCGGGTGCATTACACACCCTGCGTCATGGGTTAAGACGGGCCTGACAAAATATAAGTTGTAAACCCATGATTTATTATAAAAATGTAGTGTAATATAGTGAAGACATCAACACTGTTTTTAATTGTATCATAAATTTGGAAATTAATTGAAAAGGGTATGAAATTAAACTATTAATTAATTAAACAAAATATGTATATAACTTTGCGATCTTTGTAAACTTTATTATTTCAACAACTAATAAACATTTCAATGATGAATCAGTAACATAATAATTGCATTGAAGAAATAAAATGAGGTATATTATGACTGAAAAGACAAACGCCTTCACCTATTCATGTATTTTAACGAAATTTATTATTCGACCTTCTGTAACTGTTACAAGATGAACATTGTGAAATCCACGAACATATCATTTGACTTGACTATGCAAGGCTCTCCTGGTTTTATAAATACTATTTGGACGACTAATGTCTTATTAACATAAAACTAAATGGAAGTAAATAATTTAAAAAAAAATGTATAGGTATATCACTATCATAAAATGAGTATCTCATAAAATGTGAAACGACCTAGTGAACGTATAGTTTTTGATAAAGCGAAACATAGAATACCACGTAGACTGGAAACAGGGCAAAAAGATGTTATAGAAAAGGTCACCAGATTTTAAATAATTATTTGCAACTTAGAAATCATAGACCGAACAAAGCTGAATATTATTTTAAAAATAATTATAAAATATATTTAAAGATGCACAGCAGGTCGAATGTGCAGTGGTTAGCTCATTTAGTTTAAAAACTTTCGCAATGGCCCAAATTTTTTTCTCTCGAACATATCCATGTTTCGGAAGGGACGCTATGCTTCTACAGTAATTAACGCCCACCAATCCACCTTTAGGGAGCTCTATGGTGCAGTAGTTAGCACGCTCAGACTGCGATACGGTTGTTAAGCAAATTCTCCAATTGGAGAAGGTGACCAAAAATTTATTATCTTGAGCTCCTAACTGAAACTCCGTGCTTCAGAAGGCGCGCTAAGTCAAATCATCAATCAACACTGGGCTCGCGTGATAGGTCACAGCCCATTTTCCCTATTTAATTCGATTCTATCCACAGGGAAGGCCTAAACTATAATAAGCTTATGATGATGACGGTGATGTCAAGAGTAGATAAGTAGTTTTTGTTAATGATCTTATTATTTTAAGGATCAAGGCCAGATATACTACAGAAGACCAGCGTATTGGTGGTGACAAACGAGGAATGTAACGAGTGGTATCAGTCCCAGGGAAGTAAAATCAAGGTTATATCTACACAAATGTGCGCCGGTCATGAAGACGGAGGCAGAGATTCCTGTTGGGTAAGTATTTGGTATTATGTCGTTGAATTCTCTATCTACGAAAGATATAGGGAATTGGATATAATAGGAAGATAAACTTCAAAGAAAATCTCAAAATTTTTTGCTCCATCTAGTGGGGCCTGTGACCTGTTAAGATGAGCCAAATTAAGCTCAATACTTACTTTTTCTCGAAGTACTTCGATTTATTTTATGTATTATTATAATAAGACAAAAATCCTCCCGCTGTCTGTACACTGAGAATTTTAAACTATACTCGATTAAAATCGTTTAAAATTTTAAGAATAACAACAACAATCTTTAATAAACTCTATTTAAAATTAGAAAACTACTATTACTATTAGAAATCTTTAATTTGGTAAAAGTTTGGTATTGTGCTATTTTCTTTATTGAATAAATGTACGCGTTTTGGAAAAATACGTCACCGCCTGTCTATTTGTATCACTAACATAAGATTTCGTTCCGTTTATTCGTTTTCATTTCGTTTCCAGCCCATCTGCCACTGGGTTATATCTATTCATACCGTAATTGAATTTTTTTAGAGAATACGCGTTGCCATGGGTTTTACCACAACAAAAAATAAACTCAATAATAAACTTATTATCCTGCGTCCTCTGTAGGGTTTCTTCCAAAATTAAAGCCAAAAAACTTCTGGAGCCATATTATATTATCACCCGGTTGAAAACCTTTCAGTTGAATTCTATTCGTTCTCCCAGAAGCCATGAAGGCAGCTCAGTTGTCAAAATGAATGTTATATAGTATATAGTTTAGATGTTTTAAAGATAACATTAACAAAACCTTAGCCCATAACCTCTTGTGCATTTAGTACTCTTTATTAACGAAAACATTACTTGTATATAATAATCAATATATTTATAAAATATCTCAAATCTCATTTAGTAGTAGAAAGTTATAAAAGGCAAATTTATTGTGAAAATAAATAAGTAGCTTGTTTATGAGAAGTTGCAATCATAATATGAATTGAAATAAATCTATTTTATGTCTGCTTCTTTTGAGGAAGCAATATATTTCTGACCTTGTCTATTTTCAGGCTGACAGCGGTGGCCCACTGATGATTCGCGAGAACAAACAGCACGCTATGGTCGTCGGGGTGGTTTCAACAGGCAGCGGCTGCGCAAGAGCCAGGATGCCTGGAGTATATACACGCGTCTCCAGATACACAGATTGGATCATTAACATTATCAACTCTGATAATTCTAGATCCGCCTTGAGTTGGTATCCACGTTTTGGATAATTAGAAACTTTAATGGCCGTTCGAAAATAAAACAATACTTATCTTAGTTTTGGATATCTTTTGTGAAACTCTACACGAATTCAAGACCAATTAATATGAATACTTACAGTAGCATAGACACGACAGAATATGCCACATGAATTAATTACGTTTCAATGTTTTGATTTACAACAGCCTTTGAATCTTAGTAGGTGTATGATAATAATATTTATTTTATGTGTCTAGATCCGCCTTTATTTAATTATCAAATCACTTAATTCAGGTATAAGTAATACCTACATATTTGAGCCACTAGGAGTTGAAATGTTTATATCAAGAGATAAAAAATAAAGTTTTGTGACAGGTCTGGTGATTAGAAGGCTTGTTTTTAGTTCGCTTAAAGAATTAGTTTGGCAATTCAAAGAGGAAACACTCGCAGTCTTCTGGGCTCCTTATCTGTTGGCAATGATTTAGGGGATATTTTTTATCTAGTATAGTTTGAGTCATAGCATAGATAATTAGCTTAATATTTTGTAAATATTTTTATCGTTGAAATGCATATAATTTTTTAACATAGTTCTAATTAATTGAAAATAATTATAGATAAAGTAAATGAAGATGTTAACGAATCTTCTTGGCTGGTAGTGAAATAAGAATGTAATTAAATTGTTTTAATTATACGACGCCAAAAAGGACTATCTCCAAATATTAATTGACACTTAAACATAAATCAAACACTTTTAAGAACATAAAATGATACTAGAGTTTTTTCGAGGGAAAATAATTTTAATTTAGAAGTATTATTTTATATAATATAATAATATATAGTTATACATCAAACAAAGAAACAAACTGTGATAGTAGCATGTAAGGTATATATATAAGAAATCAATAAAAATTGAATTAAAAAGTAATGTTTTTCTTTTGACAATACCTTTCAAAATCACTTTTAGTTTTTAAAATAACTTCGTACAGTTTCTTTCCTGAGGATTCATCCAAATCATCTTTTAAAGCATTTATAGCAGAATTGATGGTAACTTTTGCTTCTATAAGCAAAAGTTTAATTTCCTCATCAGTCATTTGTATGCCATCATTATTAACCGTTTGTGATTTCATAAATAACGCTGAATGCAGTTCATGATACAGAACAGCACTGTACAAACTCAGCCTCGCGTTGCCAGGATCCAATTTATTTGTAATATTAATTAATTCTCTACACATTTTAATTTTTTTATTTAAAATTTCTCGTGAAGTATAACCTGCTTGCCTCCCATAAAGTTGTATCAAAGAATGTTTTACCGAATACAAATGATAATGATTTGGGTGCAGATATGTTGAAAATCTACATAACAGATTTTCTAACATAATCGGTGATCCACCCATCATTTGCACATTATCAACTTCTTCGCCCATTTGCGATATAATCATGTTGACTTGAGAATTATCTAGTTTGATTCTGCATTTACTACAAGCCCATTCGGTTTCATCATCCAATGGGTCTTCGGGTAAGTGTATACCATCACAGGCGTAGCCATCACCCAAACATTTCATAGCGCTCAAAAAAGTTCCTAGCTCAGTAGGATCGCTACACCTTTGACATTTACATGAAAAATATTTTGTATCTTTTAAATGTTGCCTCCTAGCTTGAGTTCCCCATAAAGCATGACTATACATTGTACTTATGTGACAACCTTTTTCTATTGGAATTGCAACTTTGACTGTTATTTTATATAAATCATATTTGTTCTTAGCTGACTGAGAGAATGTGTGTTTTGTGTTCGGAATACAACTGTGTTCCATGATACAGGTGTTGGTGTACAACGCTAATAATTCAGCTCCTTCTGGGAGACGAATTTCTAAAGCATTCGTGGCAATAATGCCACACATTCTGTGTATTAATATCGCAGAAATTTCCGGGAGATATTGCTTTTTAGTATTTGCGTCAAGTTTGGCGATGAAGTCGTTCATTAAATACTCGACGATGAATTCGTTTGCTTCGCTGAAAAGATAATGAAACTCAATAAATAAAAATCTTTGTATGAAAACTGCATCATAAACAGAAACAAAGGTGTAGAGTGTATTCTATATAAGACTATTAGGAATATTATACTCTATCAAAGGCACTCTATCTACAAATGTTGCAAAGAGAAGTTAGACTTACACGCGTATTTCTATATAAGAATATTATTTTTTTACTTCATTCAAATTCTCGTATTATATTTTATTAGTCAAAATATTTGATTAAATTTAAATATTTCCTCAAGTAATTACTTCACTCGACTGTAGATACGAATATTAGAAACTCTGAACGACAAAACTTAAGTACTCAATATTCCTTACTCGTATGCTTCCGTTCCCGGAATGCGACATTCCATATGTGATTGCATCTGCAAAAGTTTCTTCCATTTATCAGGATCGACAGTCTGGAGTAATGTGCACCTCAGTGGAAGAAGTGCCTCATGCCTGGAAGTTTTTTTTAAAAGACAATACATAAGCTATGATGTATATCAGTTTTTAGATATAACACCATATCACACGCTTCTGATGGATTCCCCGAAGTCATTACCTTATTAGCTCCGTTATAAACGAAAGCCTGTATAATACTTATAGTCCCTAGGAACTCTAGACTCAATGTAATAGAATTTAAATTATTCATTAATTTTTGATTTTCTCATTAATACATACATACGTATACGTACATACATACATACGTATTAATGAGAAAATCAAAGTAAGCATTAGTATTCACCGCCCGAATTCTCAGGATTAATAAAATCTAGAAATAGCATTATTATTAAAAAAATTACGCCGTGACAGTTATAGAACTAATGAATAATTTAAATTCTATTACATTGAGTCTAGAGTTCCTAGGGACTATAAGTATAATACAGGCTTTCGTTTATAACGGAGCTAATAAGCTAATGACTTCGGGGAATCCACCAGAAGCGTGTGATATGGTGTCATATCTAAAAACTACTTTGTTTTTATTTTCACTAAAGACTATTACGTAGCGAATTTTTATATGGCATCTATTTTTGTTACATAAAATTAAGAGATTACTCCCTGTGGGCCTACGCAAACAGAAATGTAACAATCGGAGCAAAATTAATTTTAGACGTCATTCCTGCTTTACTATTCTGATAGACTGAATACAGAGCTATAACATCGTTAGAGGTTTCATTGAATAAAATATTTATTACATTTTGAAGTAGGTTTTATATGATTGAATCTATAATGCTGCGATGGTGATTTATAACGCAGCGTTCTTTTGCGGATTAGCACTACTGAGCTAATAATACCATGAAGGGGAACAAGTATTTTAAGTAATAATTCATCTGACTTTATTTCTTGTTTCGACTACAATGTTTTTGTACTTACCTATAATAATTTGCCATATCGTCTAAGACACATTCTGGTCGAGCACTTAGTATTTCGCACTCCACACCATGATGTTGAGGATCTTTGAGACCTGGGCAGTAGCCGGAGCAGACTGGCCAGCCGCATCTGATAGTGAAGGGGTGAATAAGATCGACATTTATGTGGCATTAAATAGAACAAATGCAATGCATCATTCTTAATGAATAATGCTTAAAAATCCACTTTGTCCTTTGCACTCTGAGATGGGACTCGAACCCATGACCTTTCGCAATCCGGACGACTAATATAACCACTGAGCTGTCCAGGACCTAACAGGACTGACGATTTTTCAAGCACTTGTTACTTTTAAACTTCTATAGAGCGTATTTTCATGAATGATCAAGCAATTCAACCAAAGTCATCCCATCAGAGTGCCAGGAACAAAGAGGATTAGTAAGTAATTTTCATTAAGAATATTTTTCAGTATTGTGAATGCAAAATTGTTCAAAAATAATTAATGCAATCATTTTATAGAAGATCGTTGTATATGCTTAAGTATCAGTCTGTTTTTTTTATATTGTTAAATATGACTAATTATGTGCTAAATATTACTATTATATTAAATATGCTGTAAGCATATCGTTATAATAACTAAATAAATATATAAGTAAGTAAAATTTTTCCCAAAAGGCTAGATGACTTTTTTATTTTATAAATAAAATAGTCAATTAGTATCTGAAACTAATGTAGAAGTTATAGCATGTCAGCGATTAATTGTTTGTGAAACTGTTGCTAGTCGGCCGAAAACGCTGCCTACCCAGCCACTTACTGACGTCATACAGTGCTACGGTAGCTACGGTATGGGCGTCTAGACAATCTTTGTATAATATCTTTGTTAATTGTGCGTTTATATAGCTATACTTAGGTATAACTGTTTTCTTTAACTACTTTATTGCCAAAAAATTATTAAAATTAGTGTAATAAAAATCACATGGTTTCTGGGAATGTCATTATTCCCATTAGAGCTGGTGGGCTTCTTGCTAGTTCTTCTTATCAGCCAAAAGACGTCCTGAACAAGTGATAGGGAAAAAATGTTGGACGATTTAGATGTGCTTTTAAGGAGTCTATTTGATTAAAGATTATTTTAACTTTGACTTTGTTCATATTTTCCGAACATATTACATTATCATTACTTTATCTGGTTAATCTCACTTTAATAATCTTGACGTAAGCTGAAAGATATTATTTTAAAGATTTAATTGTTTGAAATATTTTCATTCAGACAATTTAGTACGTTTATTTTTTAATGTAATAATAATGTGCGGAATAAATCAATTCATACGTAACTATAACATATCGAATGTTATCAATTCATACGTAACTATAACATATCACGTAACTATGGAAATATGAAAGCGTAAATTATCAAATTGGAATAATGATAGTTAAAATCTACAAATCTGTTTCTTCACATCAAATTAGATGTTTTTATCGACTTCACCTGCATTTTTTTTGCGAATTGTAGTCTATGTTACCGGCTTATGATATAGCTTCCCGTGGGTAAAAGAATTTTTATTATCAATCAAGTAGTTTTAGAGTTTAATCAAATAATCTATTGATCGATTATTATATAGGATTAATAAACTAATACATCCTCTTTATGATATTACTGGCTGTTGTCGGTTGTCACCCGACTTAATTCATGTAAATATAGCCTATGTCAATCCCGTGTGATTGAAGACCTATTCGATGCAAACAAACATACAAATGTACAAACAAACAATCAAATTATTCCCTTTTATAATATTATTATAACAAGTATGGTTTTTTAATTAGCTTTTAATATTTTATTTATTCACTTTGCACATCTCTCCCCAACATCGGTGAAGACTGGCTTATAGCAGCCTACGCAGGGCACAATTGCTTCAGGATCGGGCATCGCCTTAGGGCCAAATACCAAAGGCTGTTCAGTCAGCACTAAGTCGTCAGGGGCGAGGTCCCGAGCTGCAGCAAGGTATCGACCCAATTCCTCCGAAGAACAGACCTAGAACATGAAATGTATAGATACTTAGGTATTCTTTAACAAAAAAACTTCTTTGGGATTATCTTTACATTCAAAAAGTAAAAAAAAAAATAGTTCTTATATCGGAAATCGAACTCGGACGTTATGAAAAATAAAACTTACATTATTTTTACTTAAATATAGATAAAAAATTATGGTGAAAGATTTTTCATTAAATATATTTATTGATATAGCATTGTAAATGCATAATAATTGTTTTTATCTGGAATAATAATCCAGAAATTATATATATATATATATATATATATATATACATCACCTTTATTCTTCCTTAGAAATTAAAGATATTATGTAATGAAAACACTAGAGCACAAAAGATATACATAATTACAAATTGTGAACCTCCTCTTTTTAATGAGTTAGATAAAATTATCCAGTTTCACAGAGTTTCTTTGTTTGTTGGACGGGAAATAATTATAATAATTTATACCTTAATTGGCGGTTAAGAAATTCAAGAAACGTCTAATTGAAATCGTGCAGAATTTTGCTGCTCTGTCTATTCATTAGTTTTGCAGTTTAAAACACATCTCATGATTTTATATATTTTTTAACCATTTCAATATGATTAAAATGGTTATAATTAGTATTAATGCTCAATATTAACAAAAAATTAATGTTTCAGTTCTTATATTAAACGATTTTAAGATTTTTTTAATACTAAATAAAATCATAATAACAGAATATTCAAAAGGATGGCTAAAATGGGGCAAGGCTCTTTATAAAAGAAATATAATTTAATACGTACATGTTTAAAGTTGACGTTCTTTTCTTCAATATAACGCATTCTATAATAATCTTCTCTAATAAATCAAAAAATCTAATTGGAAATGTTAGTTGCACTCTAGAAACTTATTTTTAGCTCCTAAAGACGATTGAAATAAATCAGTCAAGCAGTCAGTGCCCTCTAGAGTAACCAACATAATATTTTGTATTTTTATTTGGGGCATATCTATTCAGCGCCATCTATCAACTTGGTATGTTAATGCTGATAGCACTTGGAACAAAAGTATGCTTGGAAAGTGTGCTTTTCTATTGTACCATTTATTGTGAGTAACAACTGTAGATGGTGCTGTTTATCAATAATAACATAATAAAATTACCTGGTACGGACAATCTTCATCTTGTCCCATTTTTCTAATTATCAAATCTGAAAAGAAATTATATGACAATAACAGTGATAGCTGTTAATTAATTAATATCTTCATTAACTATGAAGCCACTTTTTAAAAGTAAAAGCTCTTAAATGAAAGCCTATTTTTAACCGCAGACGTAAATTAATTAACGCTAATTATAATTGGCAACAAGTATCACTTTGTACTATGTCAAGGTGTCAACTAGTGATCTTGAGCCATATGTTAAATTAATTGTTAGTTCTGCTTGATCTAATAAAAAAGGCTACAGGTACCTAACACGTAGGTAGTGGGTTTACCTATAGACTGCTAAATTTATGTCGTAATATCTTCATTACATTAGGGTCTATATTAGGTAGGCGCAAGAGCGAAAATTTTACCGAAGCGTATTATTTCTTACGTTTATAACTAACCGATCTTTCAGCTATCTTATACCAACGTTATAACCTCCTCGTGAAAATGGACTTTAAGAACAGTATGGTGCTAATAGTAATAAGCATCTTACAAGTCTGACAGCTTGATATATGTTAGGTATAGATATGATTTCAATTTAGATTATCAAGTACATCCCCATAATCTTTTAGAGATAAAAAGTAAAATAATGAGACTACAAGTTTATCATATCAAACCTTTTTAGTGCAATAAATTTCTTTATGGACCTATCAAATAAGAAAAAATTCTGATTTTTCAGAAATATAAGTAATTGGTAATAAAATCTTTATTGGCGTTTTACAACATGTGGCCGAGATCTTTAACTTGCCTTAACCTAAATCGAAATGGGAAACAGTTCATATTGCATAAAATAAGCCGCAGCTAAAAATAATCGTTTGGGAAATTTGTCCTATATTATAAATTATAGATGGGCCTTCATTTATGCTAATTCTGATAATAAATCTCAAATATATGTTTAAAACATCATGAAAATGTAATATTATATTAAAATTAAAAAATCCATGTAAAAGTATTTTATTGAAAAAAAAATTATACAAGTATTTAATACAATAAAAATCTCAACACTCACCCAGTTAAAGCGTAAATATAACTTTACTAATAAGTATAATAAAAAAATAACAGTTTAAAACATGGTACACCAATTCAACAACGCCTCACGAAAGCTCTCATTTTCATACTAACGGCAAAGAATATATATAAGTAGCGGAGAGCACATGGAAAATTGGCGGGAAAGTTTTTTTTAGATCCTGAATGAAATATGATGAATGGCCGGAATAGTTTGAATAGTTCTTAGAAGAGTTTTCTAGTAGGTACGATATCCAGATGAATAAATTATATTGTTAATTTTCGATATCGAATGTGTATAATTTAGTCAGTGAATCGAACTTAGTATGAAATACATTTTTTTTTAATTAATATTCGCACGGCGCTATCTGCTTTCGTAATAAATAACAACTAACATTTTCCAATATCAAGCAGTGAGATAATAGTAATTATAGAGAAAACTACTTTTAAATAATTACTTACAAACCATTGTGAATGGATTTTTGTAAAGGTATTACAATAAATGAGAGTAAATGGATAAATTGGTGAATTTGGGGGGTAATTTGATGTTTTTTTTTTATAAATTCATATTCAATTCACGATTAGAATATCGTATTTTTTATTTAATTAGCTTATTTGGACGTTGTTTTGTGGTACAGTCAACAGCAAGTCAGGTTATACAAATCAGAGGCCAGAGAGGTTGGTCGATAGCTATCCCTGCAGTGCACGGCCTCGCGGGTTATAGGAGAATATTCGTGGGTTCGAATCTCACCTCAGGGTACCGAATGCAAAATTGATGAAGAAGTAGGATATAAAATTCAACAAAGTTTAGCTAAAGTTCTTTGAACAAAACAATACCGCTTTTTCGGACATTTAATGTTAACTAATATAGCGAAGCTAAACAAAATTATTATATTTTGTTAGTCAATTTCAGACAAATTTCACTTATTTTTTTTTATTATCATCATGCATTCACAATGCTATCCTGGAAAATAATATTTTTTTTTGATTTCAACTTCAGTAAGGGACAGACCTGGCACGCGGTTGATCGAGTGTTTCAAATTGGTACTTGAATACGTTCGTAGCACAGCACGGTCATAGTATGTTATGGTGTAATAGAAAGCTCCTAATTCTATCGCTATGACCTCAACTATAAAAACGTTTTTTAACACCTTTGCTCGTAAAGCTGATTAGCCTGATATAAATACGAGAAAAACGGAAATAATTCGATATAAGCCTGGAATATTTTAATTAAGTTTGTGAGCCAATTACATGAGACTATATTTAAGAATCCATCTCATTTTAGCTACGGAAGGTATAAAAAAAATATCAGGTCAAAAAACCTTCATCTATTCACGCAAAATAACTAACACGATTTTTTTCACAAATTTTGGTTTTATTTATCATAGCGACAATGAAAATTACTGAAATCCAACTAAAAAAAATTACAGGAAATAGTGATTTTTATTAAACTTTATTGTTTACTTAATTTTATTTTTGTTGTAGTTTAATATAATAAAACTCTTATTTAAATATTTATGAGTGGATTTTAATGATATTTAGTAAAATATGTGTTTCACTCAAATGTCTGCTGCATATATTGCGTGTTATATACCAATATTCCCGTGGATATTTTCATTGGATTCAAAATAAAATATACTTAACGCAATATAGTAATATCGATTGAAGTCGTATTTCATTGTTTATATTATTGATTTATTTACAAATATTTTTTAAATATTTATTGTCCGTGTTATATAAAAATATGAGTTTCCAAATATAATATTAGGAAGATTTATGTATTTTATGGAAGTAACATAAGTAACAGTGTGAAAATACGTAGACGTCACTTTATATGTATTTTGCTTATCATGCCATTGAGAAATTAAAGGATTTTTTTTTCTAATAATCCGAAAGAGAATATCGTTGGATTAATTCATATATTAAAAAGGAAATATATGATACCCTCATAATAATAAAAAAACAGCTGTTATGTTTAAATGTTTGATCTCCATACTGAAAGTTGGTATTTGTATCAGGCTATGATGTAATTCCACCGGTTTTAAATATGTAAAGCGGGTCATAAAAAACGCGTGTGTTACTAAAGCAAATAGTTAAGTTATATATAGTCCATACAAATTCCATAACAGTATTATTTGCCATTTCGCGCGCTGTTGCTATTCAAATTTCGAACTAATGGCCGCGCGGCGCCAGTCAGTAGGCAGTAGGCTAGCGCGCTGTTAAAATGGCGGGAAAGCAACAGTGTACATTCGCAGATTGAGTTTATTTAATGTTTTTTTTTTCTGTTTCCTCGCAAATGTGTTAAAAAACGTCGTACGATATACGTGCTTATTGGTTATAACATCATCATCATCATCATCATCATCATCAGCCGGAAGACGTCCACTGCTGAACAGTTATAACATGCTCGGTTCTTATTATTCAAAATATTATCGTCACATTTATTTTGACAGAGAACCGAATATTTCGTTTTGATCTTTTTGTAATTATTATTGATAATAAATATTTATACGTGTTATTTGTATTCAGACAGTTTTATGAATACTGAAGTAGGGAGAAATAAATTTTATATGTAACTAGTATAATTAAGTTTTGTTAAATTATTTTAATAAACATGTCATGTTAATAAGTGAAATACTGGATTTATTGTCTTAATTATGATGTAATAGTTTAATTATTAATTACTACACAATTAAAATTATTAGACAACAATTTACCACCTCCCTGCACCCAAATTTTACCTATACTATAATAATAATATATAAGAAATCAAAAGAAATATTATTATTATAACTAAAAGATAGTTATTTGTTGTTGTAAAATTAAACACTTTTAATATTTAAGCGACATTGACAAGTATAAAAAATTAAACTTAGAAAAAAAAACATGACTGGTAAATTTATCTATTAGGTATAATCAGTAGGGTGGAATTTATTTAAACATTTTGCAATTAAGAAAGCTGTCATACTAGACGACTAACCTATTTGTTCTTGTCACAAAACAACTTAAAATACAGTGGTAATGCCAACTGTTACAACTTGTCTCTTACAAAAGGGCACTCGCTTACAAATTTTATACTTCATTTCGTTGGCAGCTCTCCCAGTTCTTTAGTGTTAATTAAATACATCTATTTAAAACGAGTATTGTGTTAGCACCGGACCACGACGCGCGTAAGCTGCCCTGACGCGCATTGTGATAATTACGAAATGAACGGCCCTAAAAAAGAGATTCCTTTATGTGAGGTATGTCAGCAACCAGCTAATCAAATATGCGGCGGCTGCAAGCTGGTCTACTACTGTTCAAAAGCACACCAGAAGCTAGGATGGCGGGAAGGTCACAAGTTCAAATGTTGCGCCTTCAAGGTTCAATACTCAGAAACATTTGGTCGTCATATGGTTGCCACGAGAGATATTAAGCAGGGTGAAATGATTCTGAAAGAGAAGCCAGCTGTAATGGGACCAAGGATGTCCGGTCCAGCACATTGCTTATCTTGTGGAAAGAAGTTGGAACCGATGAAAATAAAAGAAATATACGACTTCTACAAGTGTACCTCTTGCAACTGGCCAATGTGTGGGCCTGAATGTGAAAAGGCTGATATTCATAAAGCAGAATGCAAGATCATGACTGATAGAAAGTACAAGTGCACCATTAAATATGAACAACCAGATAAAACAGAAGCAGCGTATTGTGTCATAGCACCTCTCAGAGCATTGTTAATGAAGGATTCTAACCCTCAACAGTACGAAAATATTATGGCTCTCGAATCACATCTTGAAGATCGTATCAATACACCGTTGTATGTTATCCTAAAAGCTAATCTAGTGACTTTTATAATTCAAGTTCTTGGATTACCATTTGATGAGGATTCGATATTAAAAGTGGCTTCGATATATGACACTAATGCATTTGACGTACGTTGCCTAGATGGATCAAAAAGATTAAGAGCTATTTATGTAACTGCATCGATGATGAACCACAACTGCAAACCCAACACACGTCATATATATTTAGGTGACAATTATAATCTGGCAGTTATTGCAACTGTGCCAATATCAAAGGGAGAAATGATAACATTAACATACACTCAAACTTTGCTAGGTACTTTGGATAGAAGTAAGCTCTTGAAGATAAACAAATGTTTTGAATGTGTCTGTGAGAGGTGTAGGGATCCAACAGAATTTGGCACATATATTGGTAGCATTTATTGTTCAATTTGTAACGGGCCTTTTGGAAATGGAATCGAGAAGCGACCGATGTTGATATCGTCAAACCCTTTAGATGAAACTGCCACTTGGAAATGTGAAAAATGTGATCATTTCATTTTGAGTAGGCAAATGTTTTGGGGAAATAATGCTCTATCACAGGAATTGATGAAAATTCGTAAAGATGGACCCGAGAAATTCGAAGAATTCATAGAGAAATACAGTCAAACGCTACATCCGAATAATCATTTAGTTCTACAAGCTAAATTGGCTCTCCTACAAATTTATGGAAATTATAAAGGATACACATTGTCAGGTAATTTGTGTTTCATATTATACATTAATACTATTTATTAATAATTATTATCGTTTTAATAGCAATTGTTACCACTGTAGTAATTAATGAATAAACGTTTACAATACGTTTATATTTAGTGTCGGTTTTCCTGAATTAGTAACACGTGTTTGACAGTTAACTCAAAGTTTCAAATTAGCATTTCTGAATATGTTAACTACTTCATGCCAACAGGTTTTGTAACGAAGGTAACATAAAAATAGATCAACAAATGAGTTTTGTCACAAAAGATGTCAAAGATCTGTGAACAATATTGGAATGATAGTGAAAGATATAGCAAGATACCTTAATTTTTTAATAATATTAAATATAAGAAACAACTACAATTTTTAACGAATAATTATGATCTCTGATGTAAAGTCAAATATAGACAAACGGCAAATTTTAATTAACAATTAATACATTTTAGTATGATTACGGCAACTTGAAAGAAACGTTCATAAATGAGAAAGTTGTCATATGTTACTCGGGTATTCGCGTAATGACTTTGTTGACATTATTTGAAATCTAGATTCTAATACTCTTTTGCAGAAAATTTTTAAGGTGGGAGACATTCCGGCAAATATCCGAACTCACAAATTAATATTACGAGTATATTACACAATAAATTGCATAATATACGTATCTATGTATCAGACTTCTCACTATTGAAGTGTCAAAATCATTGAATATCACTGAAATTTCTAAATATATAAATTGAAAGCTATTTTAGAACGTTTGTTAAAATTTTAGTTAAAAATAGATTCAAAAAATATAAACTATATCACTGTTTAAGCTTGAGAAATTTCTTCAAGACATTTAAAGGTGATGGCCGACTATTGCTAAGTAACATTTGATATTCGAGTTTATACTTTTAACTCAATCTTGATATTTTCAGAATTACCAGATCATTTGTTGAAGCGCAAATTAGATCTATGCCATGAACTCCTAGAGTTAGCAGATCAACTCGAGCCAGGCTGGTCACGGTTTAGAGGCACTATTCTTCTAGACTTACAGGCAGCTATGGTAGTTCAAACTAAAAGGGACTATGAAGCCGAAAAAATAACTAAAGAGGGAGTTCAGGTACGTCATAGATGTTACAGTAATACATTAAACTTATTCTTAATTAAAAATCCACTTCTTGCCTGGTATTATGAGATAGGACTCGAACCTATAGTTATCGAAGTCATGTATGTATTCCTTTCCCATCTCAGAGTGCCAGGGACAAAATGGATTTTTTAAGTATTTTTCATTAAGAATATGTTTCAATATAGCATTGTGAGTACAATATTTACCTAATATATTATAATATTAAGCTAAGTTAATATCATGTACCGTCAATAATACACCATATTATCCAAAACTGTAGCTCAATTAATTACAACCTTAATATGTTTATGGTCAGGTCAAGTAAATTTATAATTTTAAAGATACCACACTATTGGTATCGAGAATTCGATATTTACGCACAAAATGGAACACTTAAATTGCTATATATTTTCTACTATAATTTTGTTGCAAATGGTATGCAATACAGACAATGCCGTTTATCATAAATAACTAAACTTGAAAACTCCGTTACTTTCATTTCAAAATAAGTACTTATTAAATTGTTATCTCGTTATTAAAACATGGATAAATTTATAAAACTATGATGATAAATTATGAGAAGATGATTCGTCAAATGTTACTGTAATGATTTTTCATAGTAATAGGTATAATTAATAAGTAATCCTCTATTCTAGTAAAATATTATGTTTAAAACAGTAATTTACGACTGAAATAGTTCATATAATCATTTTCAGGATGAACTTATGGAAAGTATGGTATTATTGCAAGAAGCTGCTAACATTCTAAGAGTGGAACCTGAAATGCGACCAACGTTAGAAGCAAAGATTGAAGAGTTAACAAGATTTTTGCAGACTCCAGAATAACAATAAAAGCAAGAGAATCAATGATTTTTTGAAATTTTATGAGAAAAAAGTAGCATATTTTATAAGATTCTATTAAATTGTAATAAAAAGCCTTGATTATATATTATATTATTGTATAATTTTACGAAAACAGTTAAACAGTTCCACACATATTACATCAACAGTCTCTTTTAAATACTTACTCCTCGATGGAGCAGTGGTTAGCAAGCCTGGTCTGCGATACATTTGTTAAGCAACTTTCGCAATGGTTGGTCATAGGATGAGCGACCACAAAATTTATTATTTCGAGCTCCTCTATTCTTCGGTAGGCACTTAAAACCGGTAAAGTATCTAAACGTTTGAAATATCATATTGATGTAAATACGATACTAGTCACTCAATTGTATAGTGTCATTTAGGTAATAGCTAGCCATATAATCAAATGGTTGTTTTAATTGGTTGGTTGTGACAAACTTACCCAACAGTGTAGAGTGTAGTAATAAAATTATTCTAATAATCTTGCTACTGACAACATGTTGTATATATTTTTTATTTTGTACTAAAATGAATTTTCAGGACAAATAAGTACAATATTTCTATTTTCAAAAAATACATGTATTAAAAATAATTACTACAGCAACTAAATATAGCACTAATCTACGATGTCTTTATTGATTTTATCTTAGTTTTTTTTTTTTAATTATCCATTTTCACAGGTGTCATTTTTGTTGGTTTTGTGACTTCGTCTACCTTAACACTGACTTCTAGCGTATCCTTTTTGATGTGAAGAATGTTTTTGATTACATGTACGAGTTTCTTGTTTGGTCTCGGCGTAGTTTCTATCACGAATATCTTCTCCGAGGCGTTGTCAATAGGGAGTTCTGGATTTCTTTTGAACTGGACAAAAACATTTTGATCTTTTAATTTTGGTGCATTGTTTGATAAGAACTGAGTTGTGTTAAAACAGTCAATGCTCTTATATAAATAAGGACTAAAGTTAGTACTCGCTTTAAACCATTGACCGCCTAAAGCAAATTGACAATATCAGAAGAGAAAACCTAAAATTGACAGATGTTGACTTATTTTGATCAGATAATGGTTTGAATCTGGTACTTAAGTTAATCTTTGTTTTATAATAAGACGGTATTGATGTGCGCCATGACTCTCTAATAATAATTTAATAAATTCTCATTCAACTTGATTATCATAATACCAATGAATAAAAAATTTAGTATCTCACCATAGAACAAACACAACACCAAGAACCAAACTTGAATAAAGCAATGCCTGGAGTTCTATCCATTGCCTTTCTGAATCTGAAGTTGGTGAAGCCATAAATTAGAGGATTAATTGCACAATCCATGTATATAAGGTAGTTAGCAGCAAACCACATGATATCATAACCACCCTGGACCTGTTAATGTCGAGATGTATATATAATTAAGAAAAAATATTTTAAGAAATTCATATTTAAAAGACAAATATCTTTTATATAAATCTGACAAATGGAAAATTTCTACAATAATTGTCTATATAGTGAAATTTAAGAAAACACATAATATTCGTCTTATTACTTATGTTTTCACTCTTCTACAATATAATAAGCCTATTAATATCTCTACTTCAGCTGGAGTACAAGACTTCTCCATAGTTCGAATCAAATTAAGATAGAGCGAAATCAAAGGATTAAAGGATTAACGTAGCTTTAGAAGCACGAAATCAAAGTTCTAGTCACCCATCTATCAGCTACTATCAGCTTTACGAAAACAACTTTATTCTACCATACGGCAATTTCGAACTTTTTGCTCTTTGTAGTAATTAAATAATCTTATTTAAAATATGATAGTACCGAATTAATCTCCAGGCTCAAGCGATCCCTCCAAAACACAAGAATCGTATACGGGATTCTACAAATGACAGCGACAAGTAACACCAAAGCTGCTATCCTCATTGTCTTTCTTTTAGCTTTGACTACAGCACGACCTCCACCTCGAGCTGAGAGCTTGCGAGCGCTCCATTCCAGTTTCCACATGATGGTGCCATACTATAAATAAAAACTTGTAATATAATATCATAAAGAACAATATCTTTGACAAGTGTTGCCTTGGTTGGGATTTTAAGTTAGGTATAAAAAATAATTCAGCATAAATCTCTCTACTGTTTTGTTATTTATGTACAAAGTGCCTTTCTCAAAAAATTAGAATAATATCATGCGTAGTTAAAAAATATAAGAAAATACTCACAGTTACCACCATTAAACCAAGTGGAATCCAAACCAACAAAGATAGTGTAAAATGCCAATATATCCCAAGAACATGGGGATCTTCTACACAGAATTTCTCTAGATGGTTTTTCCACTGTCTTTCCTATAAAATTAATAAAATCTTATTCAATATTCTCCTTTAAGTGTAATATTAATATATGAACTAAGGAATTAATATTAATTTTGATTTCGATCATATTTTAACATTACGCATAAAACAATTTCGAAAATGATAGTCGATAGTGCTCAACTATATTGGTATGATTTGAATAGAGCTTACATAAGTTGCGACAATTCTAAATAAATATTAATTCTAAGCAGCAATTTAACTTACCATGTACTCTCTCTTTATAATCCATGGTAAAGATAACGCTATAGACACAAACCAGGTTGCTCCTATCAGCCTTGGCACATACGTCTTCGTAATCTTGGCATCGGGTGTTAAAGCAGCCACAGATAGTCTGTCGTAGGATACCAACATTATAGCTCCTACACTAGCTAAGAGAAGTGTAGCTGAAATGATATTAATAGATGTAACTGAATCTTCCAAACCTAATTATTGAATTCTTACAATATTTCTTTATATTTTTGCCAAAGTTATTGATATTGAAACCGACTGAATATTAGAAACAATGTTTCATCATCAGCCCTTTTACGTCCCCACTGCAGGGGCTCAGGCCTTCCTTATGGATGGTTAAGGAGGATGGGCCATGACCCTCCACGCTGGCCCAATGCGGATTGGAGGGTATTAACGACTGCAAATGCAGCCGGGACCAACGGCTTAACATGTCTTCCGAAGCACGGAGTAGCTCGAGATAATAATTTTTTGGTCACCCATCGCGTGACCGACTCTTGCGAAAGTTGCTTAACGACTACGATCGCGGGCCGCGGCGCTTTTCCACTACGCCACCGAGCTTTGAATTTTCTGTTTTTATGATTTTATTTAGTATTAAAAAAATCTTAAAATCGTCAATATTTATTTATATTGGTTTAATATAAGAACCAATACATTAATATTAGGCCACGGCGCTAATCCACTACGCCACCGAGCTATAACAATGTTTGAAACTGATATATCTATAGATAGTATAAAACGTAGTCGCTTCCCGCTATCTCATGTCATCTTTTTAACTACTCAACGGATTTTAAAGCAATCTTCGTCCAATATCTGTAAATTGATTCAGGAGGAAAGTTTTTATGTTTAATATCAGACCATGCGGGCGAAATCGATGGCGGGAAGATTTCCGCTATAAATTAAAGTAAATTTTGAATAATGGTGTCTCCGACTGGGTCCAAATGATAATTCAATAGTTACTATCAGTCTTAACCAAAATCTAATCGAATAAAGTAAAAAGCATAGTTAAAATTTAACTACCTTGCATAAAACCTTCAAATTGACATCCGAATCTCTGCAAAACATAATTTTGGTAAAAATCTCTAACAAGCATAAACCATGGGCAGAATATCAAAGTGATCAAATCCACAAAGGCTAAGTTGCCTATAAGGTAATTGCTTGCATTCCAAAGCCATCTGCAACGTAAAATAAATTATCAATATACGTTTTTAAGAGAACGCAACAGTTTGTTTATCATTACAAAAACAAAACAGATTTTATTATTATCTATTATTAGAAGAGATCAATTCACATAGTTCTAAAACGGTAACTATGTTTATTTATGTCCTCAAATTAAAGATGCTTACCTATTTTTGATGAGGACTATTAGTACTACCGAGTTGAGGAAAATACCAGTGGCACCAACCAACACCATGGCTGTAGCTTTGATGGTGATCTCAATTGTTGGCTTGATGTGCCATAATACATTGGGAAAATTATATTCCGATGTATCAATCTGAAACATAAATTTGTGATAAAATATTTCTGGCTATACCATTTGTATCTGGCTTGTTTTAGTATCATTAACAAGTTTAGTAAAGAAGATTTGGAGTTACCAAATTGAAATAAGGAAAATGTGATGTTCTATTGTTTTTCCTACTGTGTTGAGTGAATGTAATGAAGGAACTCGATATATTTAATAAATTTTGAATTAAAAAAATGGTTAAAAGGCAACGGTAAGCCGCGAAAAAAAAATTGTGACGTATGTGGAACTAATGCAGTTTTTGTGAGAGTGGCACAAATTTGGTTTAAGCGTTTTCAGCCAGGAAATTTAATGTCAAAAATGCACGTCGCTTCGGTCCCCCTGTTGAAAAAAGGTGAGCATACAAAAATGTTGGATATTTGGGTACCTCACGAGCTCACTGAAAGAAACCTAATGAACCGTGTTCTCATTTGTGATTCTTTATTATGATATAATGAAACCTAACCATTTTTGAAGAAGCTGATAACTGGTGATGAAAAGTGGATCACGTATGACATGGCAAAGAACGGGTTAACTCGCAACAAGGTGATGCTGTGTGTATGGTGGGATGCTGAGTAACGATGGTAACAGCTTATAACGAATAATGCCCCTCCACATTATTCGTTATAAGCTGTTACCATGGTTAATTCAATAGGAAGTACCATCGAATATGAACTCTACTACAAGAAACTAAGAGAGTTTAGCTGGGAGGTGTTAATGCATGCGCCGTATAGTCCGATAGACCTTGCACCTGCAGATTTCCACCTGTTTCGGTCTCTTCAGAATTTTTATAGGCAATGTCAGGTTAACATCAGGCTAGGACTTCCAAAACCACTTGTCACAGTTTTTTTTATCAGAAGCTCCAAAATTTCTATATATATAGGGATCGTGTCGTTTTCAAACAAATTGGTACCTACGTACTTTAGTTAAAAGTAAATAATCTTTATTAAAAATGTTTTTGAATTTGCATTAAAATGCGAAGAAACTTGTTCCCCAACTTATTATTAAAATTATGTCCATCAACCCCAGTTTCATTAACAAAACAATATTGGACCTCCTTTTCGAAAAGAAAGAATGCTGTATTTTATTTTTACATTCGTTATTAATCATAATTCCAGGATTGTATTATGATACAACAATCTTCTTAGGTGTAACGCTGGATTCTAAATTGCAATGGCATCCTCACATTTCATTATTGGCAGGAAAACTAAGTTCAGCTGCCTTTGCAATAAAAAAACTTACAGATGTAGATACCGCTAGGACAGTATACTTTAGTTATTTCCATAGCGTTATGTCATATGGCATTCTGATGTGGGGTATGGCTGCAGATATAGAGTCTATATTTATTTTACAAAAAAGAGCAGTAAGGGCCATTTATCAATTGGGTTCAAGAACGTCACTTAGAGATAAATTCAAAGAAATTGGGATATTAACAGTGGCCTCCCAATACATATATAATTGTATACTTTATGTTAGAAACAATATAAACAATTATATTAAACATAGTCATGTACACAATTTTAATACTAGAAACAAAGATAAACTTGTTTTGCCGTCATGCAGGCTAAAGAAGGTTCTATCAGTCATTTATGGGTCAAGGTGTACACTACTATAACAAAATTCCTATGGAAATTTTAAATTTACCATTACCTAAGTTTAAAACCCATGTTAAGAATTGTCTACTCAGTAAAGGATATTATACTATTAATGAATATTTAAACGACAAAACTACTTGGAGTTAAATATGGCTCATTTTTCATATATATTAAATTGTTAATCGGTGAGCTTCTTTGGCTACAAATGTGATTGGATTGACGAAAATACTGTTTTACTCTTAATATTGTGTTATATTGTAATGGAAAGTGACTTCAAATTTTAATGAAGTCATTTTTCAATCTTGACGTTCTGTATGAAATAAAACAGGGAGAAAAAAGCAGCCCTTGCCGAGTTTCTTGCCGGTTCTTCTCGGTACAAGGTCTCCCGCCGTAGATTTACGAACCGTTGGCGTAGCTCTCGACTTTCACAAGTGCTTGTAACAGCCTAGACTGAATAAATGATTTTGATTTTGATGATTTTGATTTTGATATTCCTAACCATGTATATTTAAAATAAATTCTGGTTTATTTAAACTAAGTTTCAACATTCTAGTTTCTTAACAACAACCGTCTCCATAATTAAAATAACATAAATGCGTTGTGAATATAATGATTCTTTAAATTCTGCCAATTTCAAACTACCTTAGTTTTAGACTTTGACTGCGACATGAGAGTAGTCTCTTAAAAAGATTAAAGAGTTTTATTGGTGGTAATAATAGACAAAAACGAACTTTGTTCATTAGACGATTGATTGAAAGTAGTATTTGGAAAATTAACTTCCTAAATTCGAACAAAACCTTCAGCGCTTTTATCAATTTGATAACAAAGAAAATCCAGCTTAACACACTGCTGTGGTTTTAATACAAGCCATTAATCGTTGCGATAAGGTATTTTTGATACTGGCTGTGTTTTTGTACTCTACAGAAGACAAATCAGAATGAATGATCCTATCTTAAACCGATCTTGATTAGTCTAGCGCTTCATTTTGACATATCAAGTGGGGCTTCAATTTCGCGTTCGAGCAGGTAGTGAGGGCAGATGAGGTCAGTATTTACGGATATCTGTATCTATACCAATATTATAAAGAGATAACATTTCTTGTTAGTTTGTTTGTAGGGTATCTTCGTAAATACTGATCCGATAATGAAAATTCTTTTGAGTAACATAGGCTTATAATTAACGAGAACGAAATCGCAGAAAAACAGCTACTCTTGAATAATGCCCAGGAAATCAGGACCACAACATCTTTAAATAGCTACCACATAAAACAGTACCAATGTTTATCGTTTCTTCATAACGAAAAACATATAAAAACTTATGAAAGAACTAGCTGTGCCCGCGACTTAAACCTCATGGATTATATCCTTAGTTACTCCTTGTTACATACGAGTACGCTATCTTCCAGTCAAATTCCCGTCAAAATCAGTCCAGGTGTTTCATAGATTAGCCGAAACAAACAGACAGACAGGCATACAAAAAATATATTTTGGTATATGTACCGTGTATACGCTAGATACTATATTTAGTAAAAAGCTGTTTTAATATTATAAACAGACACTCCAATTTGATTTATTTGTAGGTTAGAAGATTTCGCTCAAAAATCCATATTTCTCGCAAAGGGAAAGAATCCAATACGAGACACTCACACCTCCGCTCTCAATTAAGATTTCTGGTTTTGAAACAAAATATTTTTTATTTTTTAATTAGATTTGTATGCTGAGAAAGCGACAGAAAATTTTGAGAAATAAAGATTTTTCAGCGCAAGTATCGATATCTTACTGTTGTGACATTCTTAAAACTCCAGTTATATTTAAACCATGCCACGTGGTGCCAGGATGGTAGGTATTTGTTTTTATCCTCTGACGCAAAAAGAGGGGCGTTATAAGTTTGTCGTGTCTGTGTGTTTGTCTGTGGCAATGAAGCTCCTGAAGTAAGGAACCCATTTGAGTGCGATTTTTTTATACGAAAGGATCTTAATTATTTTATTAAAATCAGATGAATAGTTTAGGAGCTAGAATATGATAATTTGAATATAGTCTTTCATCGATAGCCTCTTTTATCAAGATCATTTTGACGTATATTTTTTGTATTAAACATATTAAATAACCCCCAATCAATCCAAAAGTAAAAGTATAAAGATAATCTTTAAAATAGTTCTATAGAATGGTACTCCAATTTCAATGAGAATTGTGTTTAGCCAAGCTTAATTTTATACTTTTTAGAGTGATTTTTAGAGACGGAGATTTTTTGAATTTTCTATTTTCATACATTTTGTTGATAAGAGGGCCCATACCACAATGTATATAGACTTTGCTTTAAAATATACATACAATTATATAATCAAAGGAGACTGTGCATATATATATAAATAAAAATAAATTTCCGTTAATTGGTCTCGCTAAATCTCGAGAACGGCTGAACCGATTTGACAAATTTTAGTCTTGAAATATTCGTGGAAGTCTTGGGAAGGTTTAAACGATGAGAAAATATAACAAAATTGAGAGTATAATACTAAAAACGACAATTTGATTTTCCCATACAAACTGTTCTTAGCCGTCAAACGTTTAGTTGACGATCAATATTTATGGTCGTGTAGTGGTCAGTTTACGCAATATTTTTCAATTGTGGTTCGTCTTGACAGCACGTAAAAAAAAGACATGCTGTCGCCATTATAGCTATCATTATACATTATAGCTTACATTATAGCTCGAAAACATTTTTAATTTAAACCCTATTCATAATTATAACCTTATTATATGGTTTTTATTAAGAGGTAAGTGATACGAAGTTCACCGGGTCAGCTAGTAATAACTAAATAGATCTAAGCTGTATCTATGCAGAAACTTATAAATCGCTTATTGTTTATTATATTTGTAATATATGATGTTTGGATAACTTGATTTATTTTATATTTATCTTGGATTTCCATGATAAATAAAAGAATAAATATATAGTTGAACTCATTTATAATGAATCCGTTTGTATTGACCAAACGCTTAATATTCGTTTCGTATATGTTTTTGTAAAAATCCGTTATATAGATTTCACTTTAGTCACATATTTCGCATATCAAAACATATTTTGTAAGAGATTTATAAATCATATTCGGTTATAGTGACTGAAATGAAGCCCAACACTTTCCCTTGTTTTTGCAACTCTGCTTGCCCCTTTCTGACAACGTGAAAATATGACTAATGATGAAATGCAGACATGTGCCGAACTAGAACTAGGAGTTGTTAATTTTCTGAAAATACATAATTTTCGTATGACTTTCGCTTAGTATAATGTGTTTGTCATTTTCCTTTAATTTCTAATGACATATTACGCTACACGGTATTAGGAGTCCAAATACCGTGCAGCTTAACGGAAAGCGGCGAACGGTCTTAATATAACCCTCTTAAGTGGGCGCCTACACACAAAATAATTTAAATTCAAACAGTTTTTTCCAAAGAAATAACGTTATAATATCTAAGTTACAATTTAAAATGAGAAAACAAAATCACATTTCTAGGAGTTTTAATACAGAAAAACGTAATTTCATTTTTCATAAGGAAAATTTATAATCAAGTGACTCGTTTTAGCCGTAATTATGAAGTAATTCAAATGATTACAATTTATTTTAAAAATATTTTTTATAACAAACTGTAATAATTTGAGTTACCTTTTCCGAAATTGGCCATTTTCTGCCCCTATAATAACAAAAAATCTATCTTTGTATGTAGAGCCTCAGTAGTGATCTGCCAAGACGAGCCAAACAAAGCGCAAAGGCATTTTATAATATTATACATTTATTATATTATACAGGGATAGTGTTTTGGCTTTACACCTTCTCATAAAGTAGAGTCCATATAGTTTTAGCACGCGATTTTGATAAACGCAAGCGAGACACACGAAGAGAATGCTATATTATCACAAAATATTCCTACTAAACTAGGACAAATCTGGATGACATCGAACTGATTTAAAAACCTTAAAAACCACTCCACAAATTACTTGACCACTTCTTCTTACTTCTTAAAATCGTCAACGACATTAATAAATTACTTGTGTCCTTTTAAATAGATAAATAATAGGATAAGTATTAAACTAAAAGCCGTGGTTTATTAAATTAATCCAGACGGGATGATAAGACCGTAACACTTCTTTCAAAATCTTATAGATTTACACCACTAATTTAGTTTCAAAAAGCTGTGCATATCGTCATTAAAAATAAATCTCTCCATGATTAAAAAAACTCAATAAAGGGTCAGTAGTAGTGTAGCAAACTTACATTTAACAAGTCATCGTCATCCATTTCTACAAAAATCACAACTTTACAATCCTTCACATTTCACTTCACAAACATGACTGGGTTATAGGTAGGTATTCAAAATCCATCGTCAGTACCCATCTCTAGATAAGCATGGTCCATTACCGTGAAAGCTTTTTTATCATTACATCGCTGTGTGATTGATAATAGTGAAATTTCCCAATTTCCCAGTTCCGAAGGTCAATAAACAACCAAATAACATATAGCCATAAGTAAGCCATAATAAATAAAATATAATCTGTTAATACACTACATAATTATTTACCTATTTTGGATTTAATATATTTTATTTGTTCAAAGTTTTCGTTACGCCATCTTTTAATAATTTTTAAAACATGGTAAACCCAGAAGGAAAGCTTTGAAATCTGTACCTTTTCCGTAATTCATGAAAGTTCCGTTAGATGTCAGTTATTAAATACTGTTACTACCGTCCTCTATGAGATCTGTTAGGAATCATTCTGAACAAAAAATTGTAAATGACTATCTTAATTTTATAGTAAAATTGAAGAGGGCTCTTTTTTGTTATTATATACATTAAATAATTTATTTAACTGATTTCGTATCATTTGATCAACAGAAGTGAAGATAGGTAATAACGCCCAGTTGCAGAAACGTTCATTAAGGTTAATTGCGATTTAAGCTCTAATAAATGATCTTAATTTGATCATTTGTATCGGTAATTTCGCTTTAAATTAATAAAATTTTAATGGACTTTTGTGCAGCGGACAAATAAATTACTATATGTCTGTCTTCCCGGTACTATGTACTCGTATAAACTTACGATGTAACGTATGATGTAGCTTCCCATAGGTAAAATAATTTTTCAAATCGGTCCAATAATTTTGGAACATAATAAATGCAAAGAATCAAAGAAAACATTTTTTTTAAAAGGAGCAAATACCTTACTAAAATTTGTCTTAAATAAGGAATTTGTTCCAACATAATTTCAGGGTTTAAGATAGGAAATTTATTATGAAATAATGCAACTCCTTTGAATTTGGGCTTGTTTGATTATGTCTATACAAGATGTATAGAATTAAAGTGATCATCATCATAATTATCATCATCAACCTATTATAGTCCCCACTGCTAGGGCACAAGCCTTGCCTATAGATAGAATTAAGTCGTATAGGGATAATAGGCAATGACCGCACACGCGGGCCCAGTGTAGTTTGGTGGGTGTTAACGAGTGCAAATGCGGCCCGAACCAACAGCTTAACACGATTTCCGAAGCACGGAGGAGCTTGAAATAATATTTTTTTGGTCACCCATCCTATGACGAACCCTTGTGAAAGTTGTTTAACAACTGACCATTGGCTATTGAATTCTGAGCTTTAGGTAATAAGGTAAAACTCTCTTAGAGCGCGCATAAAAAGTTAAAGTGGTAAGTAGTTACATGATATTCGATGTTTTTCTGTTATAATTTAGTAAACATTCACAAACGGGATGTATAATCGTTTCGTCAGACATGTCATACGAAGATTTAGGCAAACGACAAGGCCAATTTAAAAAGCAATTTGACGACATCTAGAGTTATCAACAAAATCTGAACGCTGCCACACATCAAAACCGCATTTGGTATCATGTGAAAACCGAAAGAATAAAACGGACTTCATTATATTCCACTTACAGTAGTTATGGTGCTGTGAATATTATTATGTGTGATGTGGCTCATGCTGGTGAAGCAGCAATTTCCAGAACAATATAATATTAAAACAAAACATCTTTCACACTGCTGTTTACAGTTTTATACATTTTTATCTGTATGTGTTCAAATAAACTTATATCTTAGTTGGTACATACATAGAGTATCTATAATATTCTAAAACCAAAATCCTGGTAACCGTTCCTGTTCGCGGCATTAAGAACTCAACAAAGAGGTTATATACTCTATGTCTAACTATAATATAATGCATGCATTGTGATACTTGAAATTAATGCAATGAAACTTTTTTATGCTGCTAATTTCGTAATACAAATTCAGCTTTAGTTAACATTCGGCGTTTGTAAAAATTCTCATTATTTAATAGACTGAGCAAACCACATTTATTCAAGTAGTAAATATGCCTAAATCCCTAATGTTGAGTATAGCTTAAACTTAGTTTAATATTTTTTTGATGATATTTATTTTGACTAATAAATGCAATCACAGCGTAACTTCTAAACTTTTTCAATAGTGCCGGATTAAGACCTACTATCTGTGTGGATAAGTAAATCATATCAATTAAAAAAAAACATAATTATTACAACCAGACAGATTATTACTTGAAGATATATATGAAGGTCATTTTCAAAAACCTTACCTTTTGTGCTAGCAACTTTTCTACTGCTTCTGGTACCCCCCAATTGTTTAATTTGTTTATGGACGAATCCAGCTATCCCGTAGCTCTGGTTTTGATACTTAAATGAAGAACCAGCCATCTCTTTACGCCATGTTAGTTAAGAGCATTGTAAGTAATAAATATTAAAAGCAAATAACAACTTCTATAACTTTTATCTTATAACGTTAAAGAAAATAAAAGATAACACAAACAAAATATGGATTTTTTTGCCGCAACATCCAACATCTGTTTACAGCAGCCGACCGCAGACCGTCAATTTGTACGAATGAGGTTACATGTCTAAACCCTTTTGTACTCGAATGTGCTCGTAGTCTGCACCTTGGTAATAAAAGTTGCCGTAATTGCAAAGTTAAATCTGAGATGTGTAATAGAAAACGTGACATGTAGCTGTCTGGGTACAGGGTCGTATTTAGAATAGTGATGCGTAAACGCAGTAAGGTATTATGGTTCCAAAATAACACAGTGACATTCTGAGTGAAGGGAAACTAATCTTAATGATGTGATGTGTTATGAATTTATAAAGCGATAATATCTAAAAATAAAATAGAAAATTAAATAGGGGTAGCAAGCTCAGCGGTATAGTAATTAAAGGGAAGAATGACTGAGAGAAAAGGCATGAGGAGTAAAAGTGTGATCGAAGTGAAAATCGCCCTACTTCTGGGTGAGAAGCGGTTGGTAAAATAACTCAGGTCCAATTTTGGCAACTAAATTGTCTCCTTGAGTGAAAAGGGCAATTCTCGCACCTACTTATACGCACAATCCTAAGACAGTGAAACAAGGTAAGCAGCAAGTTGTCAATCTAAAGTCCTTTTGTGGTTTACGGATGCGTAATTACTCCTTTCCTTTCCCCCTTCTCGTCCGTTTTTCCATCTCTACCTCCGTAGATTCGAAAACTACGTTCCTTAAATTTTGGACATCCCTTACCTTAATGCCACTCTGTCCCACAGACAGATGTATCATTTGCGACACGTCTGATTGTGCCGAGTTGTGGTAAGCAATTATTAGCGTTAACTATAGACTCCAGATTTTGTCCTTTGCTCGTTTTGCGAAAGCACTCGCTTGCGATGGCAGTGCAATGTTCTGTAATTTCTAGATAATTTTATCTAATGACTATATGTCATCTTTGTATTTTTGTTGGTAGAGAATATTCAGAAGACTTTTATTTTTCGCTTTGTAAAAATACCAGGTTTTAATAAAAACTTATTGCGTTTCTCAAACTAAGCAAAAATTTGTTAAAAAAAATTAAAGCCTCGTATGGTGTAAATCCACTTTCGGCTAGGCTGTACGTAGACTGTAGATTACTTGACTGTGCGAGTGTTACATGGCTTGAATTTTTTTTATTTTTAAGAAGAAAGTTTGAAAGCTGTTATTATGATTTTTGGCTATTACTGTTGTCCGCTAAAACTGTTTCGAAATATCTATTAAATCATCATCATCATCAGCATCATCTGCCGGAAGACGTCCACTGCTGAACATAGGCCTCCTAATTAAATATCTATAAATAATTTAAATTTAAGAAATCTACTCAAGTAAATTCATATCCATATGCGATACTTCAGAAGAAACAAACACAATGAAATTAATTGACATTTGATGACATTTTAAAAGAAAACCATTATCCTTATATTAACACAAATTACGTGATTTCCAAGTATTATTCTTTTCAAAGGAATAATACTCACTAAAGGCTTATAATTATTTTTATGTGCTTACTGGTGGTACCTTTTTCCTTTTTTAACCACTCCAAACCTATTTTGAATATGTGGGTCTTACCTTACTTTTCTTTTATTATAAAACGTAGTGAAGGATTAACGTGGCTTTTATTGAATACTAAGAGACAAAAAAATATTTTGCGATTTCAATAAAATTGGTTCAGCTTTCCGTGACCATCCATGACTTAGATAGAATCTCGAGTCCTAACTTCACCAAAACATTTAAATATTTTTTGGGATAACAAATGACAATGCTTCAGAATCTTCTTAGTGGCCTATTTTAATTGGTCGGCAATTGACTATTCTCTTCGTTCCTTAAATCCATGATCAATCAAATGACAATTGAAATTGCCCACACTTCGCATAAAAGCTCTGCCGGTAAATGTAAATAAGTTATTTTCTGTATTGAAAATATCGGGTACCGAATCTGATACTATTCAAAGACGATGTTACGTAAGCCATTATATGAATCCTTTCAAGTTTAATGAAATGAAAATATATTTTTTTCTAATAAGTTTATCGAAAAGACTTTATAATTAACCAAAATTTTATTCGGACCACCTATCTTAGCTGTTCTGTTAAAAATACAGCGTAAACAAAGCTCAGTCACAGCATTAAATTCAATCAAATATAGCCTTTATTATCCTTTGAAATCGGTTTTAGTTTAGGATGTGTTTGGACTGGCAAGAAGACCAAGCCACAGAAACTTACTAGCTTTCAACAGAAGTAATGACAGTTACATTAGTTTCATCACCAAATAATATGTATCGTTATACAATTAGTAACAAAGTATCTAATAATAATGATTTTATCAAGTATCTATTGATATTGAATAATAAATAATCACAGCAATTCCCTTTTAACGAAATAAAATGCACTCAATTGAAAACACTTGGTAATAATCAAATTATCAAAAACAAATCTATGGAAA